TGCCGACTTATGCACAATATCAAATTTCAAAGTCTATTCGTTAAGCAATAATTACTTAGATGCATAACATAATATTCGACTTGCCTTCTCGATCCATCATTCAATTTTTCAAAATAGGCAAAATACACTTGTATAGCCATAACTTTCACGTTTTTGACAAATATAGCCATAATTATTGGAAAACACAAAATAGCCAAGAAATTGGATGGTCGTGTGACAAATCTATCCATTTTCGTTAGAAACTTTAACGGTGTTAGAAACTCCGTTAGTTATGTTAACGTTAGGCTGACTAGGATGCCAAATCATCGCGCTCGTCAGCGACAACTCAACCACACTTGCCACATAAGTGCCATGTCATATTTTAATTCAAAAATAATTTAATTAATCAATTAATAACTAATTTAAAAACATAAAAATATTTATTTGTTTTTTTCCTTTTCAATATCCAGTCTCCTCTCCCTCTCTCCTCTCCTTCGTCTTCCCCATCCGAACAAATCCCCTTCCCTGCAACAAAAATCTCAAACCCAGAAATACCCAAAATCTCCAGAGAATATACTGAACCCCCTCCGATTCAGATATGCCTCACCGCTCCTAGCGCACAGGGCTACCACCGATCGTCAATGGCTTCTTCGACTTGCCCTGACCAGAGCCAGATCCGGACCCGGGGATCTTCTTGGACCCGGACCCGAGGGATTTCAATCCGAGAGCTTTCTTCGTCTTGCTGGCCGCGGCGGAAGTGAGCGAGCGCTGGAGTGACGGAGACGAGTTGGAGTTGGAGCTGGAGCTGGGGGAGTGAGGCAAATGGTGGTGGTTATGTGGATCGGTGACGGCTGCGGTGGAGAGGGGCTTGGCGGAGGAAGTGCGGGTTTGGGGCCCACGGTCAGCGGGTCGTCCATCATGTTGACCAGCCCGAAAAGCGAGCGGGAGGTGTTGGTCATGGCGGCGCGTGCGATGGGGACGGCGGTGGGATTGCGGCCGCTGACGATCTCGTGGAAGTAGAACCTGAGGTGGGTCAGCTTTTCCTTCCCGCGGAGTCCCAGTTTCTCGGGGCGGAGAGTTGTGGAGAATCCGCCGAGGTCGGGGTTGGAGGCGTGGGGGAGGGAAATGGCGAGGGAGAGGAATAGACATAGTAAGAGGTTGGAGGTTGTGGCCGCCATTGGTGAAGGATATCGGGAGATGTGGGGTTAGAATTAGATAGAAGAAAGGAGGAGGGGAGAGTGGCGGCAGTGGTGGTGGAGAGCATCAAGAAGCTAGGGTGGAGAAGTTTGGGTGGAGTTTGAATTGGGGGCGAAGCTAGGGTTGCAATTTTTTTTAAACTAAATTTTGACATAAATAATGATTTTTTATATTTTAATTTTTTTGTTAACCCACATCGGCTTGGTGGGGACCATAAATCGCCAACTCAGCATATTCCGTCATTACAGTCAGATTGTTAAGTAACACCGTTAAAGAGATGGACGGAATTGGCTATTTTTGGTTTTCGAATAGAAATGGCTATATTTGTCAAAAGTGTGAAAGTTATGTCTATACAGATGTATTTTGCCTTCAAAATATAATAAAGTTGGCAGACAAATAAAACTACAAAAATATATTTTCTGAAAACGCAAATATGGGCAAAACCAACCATGATACAACTCAACGCAGCTCGGTCATTAGGCATTCCTTCGCTATAACAACTAGCTTATACCCCGGCCCGTTGGTCGAAATGTTTTTTTTTATGTTACATTTAACTCTATCAACCCGTTTAATTTTATTGACAATATTTCGCTCGAGATGATACATAAAGAAAGAATATATAGGTCGAACTTTTGGAGAAATAAGAATATAAAATATAAAAATGTATCATTGATCTCATTTTCATAATGATAATTAAGCCTCAATTAAAATGCTATTGGTTAGTTGATTGTCAAGAAAGATAGAGTACAAAAGCTCACTGGAATTCCCACACAACCCATAGATAGTTTGAAACTCAATCTTAAACCTCACAATCCTACATAAGAGGTTCAATGCTCTCCTTTTAGGAACAATATGCCACTAATAAAAAATCAATGGAGAGTTGTTGATTCAAGTCAATATATGACAACTCAGGTAAGAGGGGACCATTACAATTTGAGAGCAAACGACAAAATTAGGGCTACCTCCAATATGCTAATAAACTCGATCGAAGTAATAAGGCGCAAAATTAGACACTCATTATCTATCAGTTCTTGTAGGTTGAATAAAGAATCAACCTAGCTGCAAAAACCATAAACCTAAAGGTCCAATAGTCACCACTCTCTGTTGTACAACCAAATTTTTATCTCAAGAGGCATACGTTTCAATAAAAAATTCAATCTCTAATCCTCCTTCTGCAACTCCATTTATTGAACTCCATTCTATTCGTCATGGATTGGTATCGGAGTTGAAATCTTCTACTTTCCTAGCTTAAATTCCCAATAATAAAATCGTAGTGCCAAAAGATACCAAAAGATTGATTTCAAAGGCGGTCTTGTATTGGAAAGTGAAAGGCGCGCAAACTATTGCACGATGGAGGGAATTTCGAAACAAAGATAAAAAAATTGAAAATTCAAGGACACAACACGTAATAATATAATTAGTTTCTTTTATGGTAGCCAATTACTAATCTAACTTTAGCAAAAAATTAAGGCGAGAGCAAAAAATTTAAAATTGAGAAAATTACATGAACCTCTACTATGAAAACTGAAGTATCAAGCACCATAAAACACATATGGTAGACTTAGCGGGCTTGCTAATCATGATGGAAATTTCCTCCAATTTTCAGAGTTTAACTTTATGTAAGTTTTGTACTCGAAAAGGTACAACAAATTTGTTTAGTGTAATTGGTTGTGATTGTTGTCTTTGTTTTAAGAGACTCGGGTTCATATCCTCATATTGATATTTTTTATATGAGATAAATAATTAATTTTAAAGACAAAAATGTCCTTTCTATTTTCACTCTCGTTGCAGGAAATTTAAAAATGGAGAAAAGTTTACAAAACTCTATCATATATTATTTTATATATTATTGGAGGAGGATGTCACAATATACTATATTATTTATTGAATCTACGAGTATCAGAACTCGCGGTGAAACACGAGCTAATTAACTAGTAATAATAATCGCCCCATTAAAATGAAAATCAACAACTATAAAGGCAAAGACAATAACTGTCGTCGGAATCTTTCTTTGGCAGGCATACTCCGATATGGCCGATGCCGCCGTGGTCCACACATTTCTGGTAGCAATCGTCCGGCGTGCATCCTGAACCGTACAATAGGTCGGCACAAGTTTTGTCTGCTCCCGCTTTCTTAACTGACATTATTCTTCCACCTGAAAATTGTTTAGTTAAACACCAACGGTTCGGTTGGGGTTAATAAGTTGTGTTTTTGGAAAAAACTATCAAACAATTAAACTTGATAACAAAAAATCAAATGAGCACTAAGAAAATTTTGTAGTATAAAAACAAATTTTGTCTTAACCCTATATATATATATATATATAGTCACGTATATGAATAAAACAGACCTGAAAGAAGAAGGACGAATATAAACCAAAATGTTAGAAAAAACTTGGTCATTCTGCTCTCCATTTTCTTATTTATTATTGGAAAATGCTCAAATCTAATTTATGTGGATATAAAACTCATTTTAAGGTTTATATATTTACAAAGACTATCCAATATGCTCATGATTTTGGATACAACAATTCTCAAGTTAAGGTAAATGAAAATTTGTTTCCATGCATGCCTTTGGTTTAAATACTGCAGATTTTATTCCCAAAAAAAAAAGACTATAGATTTTCATTTCCTTTTAATTCCTGCAGGGGCGGAGCTAGGATTTGAAGTTCGGGGGGGGGGGGGGGGCGAGATTTTTTTATTCTACTACTTCGAAAAGACGATAAAAATTAAGGAAAAATATTTTTACTATTATTATAACTAGCATTTTAGATGATTAGAGTTACTCAAAATAAAATCCATATGTTTTGTTTATGACTCCATTAATTTATGTGCTTCTAAAATTAGTATTGATTTACCGGTTGCAGTTGAAAGTGCATAAAATGCATTTCATCTTTGAGTTAGTGACAAAGACAAAATTTGACATTTCGAAAGGGGATTTATTTTGTTATTGCGAAAAGGCAATAAAATTAATAAATTTTTAATATTATCGTAGCATCAATTCGAAACCATATAAAACTTAATATTGAAAATAAAAAAGTTAAGAAACCATATTGAAATTACAGAATTGAGAATCCATAAAATAAAAGTTAATGAGAGATTAAAACTAAAATTAAAATATGCCATCTGTGGGATTCGAAGCCATCAGATAAAAGTTAATGAGAGATTAAAACTAAAATTAAAATATGCCATCTGTGGGATTCGAACCCATATTGTGATGGCTGCAATAGAAGGATTCAGGCCACTAGGCCAGTTTACTTTGTTGTTTCAATAATGCACATTATATAATCTTATACAAACTCATTGGCCTATACGAAATTTTCAAATACCAATATAGTTTATACGTAAGTTCTGAAATTCTGGGGGGGGGGCCGGGGCCCCCCGAGCCTATGTGTAGCTCCGCCCCTGAATTCCTGTCTTCGAAACAATATTCCTAAAGGAGATTTCCTTTGGAAAAAGGAAAAAAAAGGTTCATTAAGGACAAATTTTCATTATATCAAACCACTAATTAACCGCCTACGTTTCCACCCCTAACTATGAATACATGTTTTTTTTTCTCTCTCCCACAAACATGATCAAAATGTTTTCTCCCTCTCGCAACCACGAGCTCAAACAGAATTAACCGAGTTGGTACTTGGTAGTTTTAGGTTTTAGGGGAGTGAGTAAGTAAGCAAAGCAAGCAAAATCATGAATTAAATCAAAAGACCAAATGCCTCTACTGCGTACCATAAACTATTACAGATTTAAGGATATAGCTTTGTGGAGTATCACAGAGTAACAATAATTTATTTAATGACAAATATTATTTTCTCAATTAACTAATAATTAATGTTTGCACTGGTGAAGGCACCAACAAGCATAGGAGCGGGGGATTGGGATGCATACCCCAACCTGCCCGATGTTGATTGCTTTGCATTTCTGGTCACATTCATCTGGTATGCAATTCGCAGGATACAACTGTTCACCGCAGGGTTTTGGAGGTGGAGGTGCTTCCCCTTTCCCAACCGGCATTAAAGCTGCACCTGGGGGCAAAAAACAAAAATAAAAAATACAACACAAACAAATTAATAACAAAATGCAACTCATGAAGGAGGGTTCTAAATCATATCGTCATGTTTCAATTCAAAAGGAACCCAAAAACAAGTAGAGGAGGTTACTGAATCCAATGGACTTTCACGCTTTTTATGAGTTTCGTGTTTGAATAGGGAAAGTGTCGTACCCAATATTTCAAGAGTCGAGCCAGAAATGATTTTATGATAACGGGTATAAAGATATCATCTGTCATTAGCACGATAACTAGGAACCGTTCATATGTACGCTACAACTTGTGATAAAAACAAAAAAATGGAACAATTTTATTTTTACGATAAAAAAATTAATATCTAAATGATTGAGTAAAAATTGTGATTCTATACCAATTATACGATGTGAACTGATGGGGGGGATTAATGAAATTGTTTGAAAAATTTGATTGATTGGATAAATGCATTGCGGGAGAGAAAATCAAGAGTTTAAATCATGGAACAGGAAACCGGATCGTACCGGCCGGTTCAACCGGGAACCGGATCAGGGACGATACGACACCTATTTACCAAGCAAATTACCGCGCCGGCCGGTTTTTATGGTATAACCGGCATGACCCGAGATACCGTCCGGCTTTATTCCGACCGGCGGTAGACTGATTTCAAAGAAACGTCGCCGATTCATGCAGCGAAATTGGGGGGAAAAAACGTGCAAACTAACAACCCTAATGGCCTAATCCCTAATCGATTCTTTCTTCCCCGTCGTTTCGGTTTCACTTCACCCTTCCGCTCCTCCTCTTCTCCAGAACGCCGCCTGCTCGACACTCGGCAGAAGAGAACGAGGGATCTTGTGCTCTCCGCAGGCCTGGTTTCCCTCCGCCGTCCTTGATCAGGTTTCCTTCCTTGGTAATCGCGGCAAAGAGATGAGAGTTTTATTAGGGAGTTATTTTGATTTGGCTTTGAGCGCCGGGAGGTGGGGGTCTGAGATTTGGTTTGCGATCTGGATATGGTTGGGTGAGAGAGAGAATGAAAATTGGGGAAAGGCTTTACAGGGAGGAAACGAGGAAGATGATAAATGAGGGATTTTTTACGTTTTTTTCTACTTGGACCCGGGAAAGGCCACCCGTAATGGCCCATTTTTGTAATATATAATTATTGTTTAAATTTTTTATTAATTTGTTTTCTAACTAGTTGTATTTATTGTCCGGTATATTCCGATATTTACGGTATTATTCCGAAACGGTACCCTGAATTTGACGGAATGATATTTTGACAAAATATATATTTTATTATTACAAAAACGGTATTTACCGGTACACAATGGTTGAACCACGGTCGTACCATAAAATACTGTACCACTTACGGATCTGGTATGACTTCCGGTACGGTTTCCTTTACCATGGTTTAAATATGAGTTGATTTGCAAAATTAATTGACAAAATATCATAAAAAAAAAAACAATGTGTGTTAGTGTTGTAGTCTTTACTTTTTTACATGTTAGGAGAAGAAACCTGACTTTTTAAGAATCTCTAAAGGCGAACTTGTCAAATTCAGAAGAACGGATGTGATTTTAGTTTTCTAAAAATTAAATCTCAACATTGGCAACTACCTAAAAATGAAAGTAAAATATAAATTTTTGAAAGATTAAAATAAAAGAGAAATGCTTTTGACTATTCAAGCTGTGTGTGATTTTGTATTTTTTTTTTAACTTATTATTTGAAAATGAATTGAAGAGTAAAATAAAATGGTACCTAACCTACAAATAAGGGGGAAAAAAAAGGAAAATTAATGGTACCTAACTTTTAAGAAGGCAAAATAAAACACAACTTATAGGAAGCTAGAAATGAAAGAGAAAATTTAAATGATTTTGTGAAGATTCAAACCCGTACCAGTAAATTGAGAATGGGAAGAGATGGAAAAGATGATCCTTCTATTTCTATATGAGCGATCAATAGAATCTGAGCAACGCTCCTATATATATGAAAGAACGAGCAACACAAACCTGAGAAAAGAAGGATCGCCACAAACACATATAAATAGGCGAGATATGATGATTTGGCCATGCTATGCTATCTTATGCTGTCGTCTTTCCTTTCTCTTCTCTCCTCTGTATCTCTTAGTTTCTTGTTAGATGGAAATCAGAAAGCTACAGCGCAGTAATTTATACCACTGCTGCGAATTTGAAGCTAACAGCGCGATGGAAGATTATATAGAGAAGATAAACTGTATATCACATTAAGAATAAGAGCTCTATCCAATGAACCTTGTCAGATTCAAACCTTTCCTTAATTAGCAATGCGAACAGTAACAATAATAAGTCCATATAAAAGAGAAAAGGTTTCAACTTTCATGCTCTGTTCAGTTACAAAGCCGAAATCTTATTCCTTTCTCACACAGCACATAGGTTTGCTGCTAATGAATTGTATTTTCCTCTGTTTTTTTCCTTCTTGAACGACGAACTGTATTTAGTTATTTACCTTTTTGCGTTAGAAACTAATTAATTCATGCCATACATAAAATTCATGCATATGTCAAAGGGGAAAGGTTGAAATCGGATTGGAAATATGGAATAGATACAGCTGGTCTGGATTAACCGATTAAGGATCACATTCTTTGGCTTTTAAGTTTTAACTAAGGGTCAAAAGCAGGGCTCATGTTTATCCAAGCTTTTGATTGGGAAGCAAGGTTGTCAACATGTGGGGTGATCCGGACCCGGTCGAATTAGTGGGTCAAGGGTTAATATGTCACCCGTTTTAGTCCAGGTTAGACCGGAAATATGAAAAAAGTCATTATATATTTATATTGTACTTATCTTAATAAATTATATCAAATCTCATCTAACATATAAGTTATATAACATATAAGGCTAAATTACCTGTTTGGTCACTCAAATTATACAAATCTTTCACGTTTACCACTCGAATTACTTTTCTTTCTTGTTTGCCACTAACTTTACGAATCGTTTCACCGTTGGTCACAGACCGTTACACTCCGTTAAATTTGACCTACGTGGCAGTCAACTATAAAGTTTGACCGTTAACTAGATGACGTGGAAATTAAAAATGAAAAAAAATTATTTTCCACCTCAGCTTACTTTGTCATGATTTATCATATTAATTATTTAATAATTTTTTTTTTGATAATGATGATAAAACTCTATTGCAAAAGTTAATTAAATTACAACAGTGGGAGGAAGAAGTTGTATGGGCCGTTGATATTACCCATTTCCTCTTCTTTCAACTTCGCTTTGTCGGAACTTCGCAACGGCAACGACACGGATTCATTCCCCAAGGGTGGACCACGCTTGTGAGGGTGACGAGCAGGAGAAATGTGGGTCGGCAAAGAAGAAAAATAGCGAGCCAACGGTGGTTGTTTGGGAGGGTCGAATCGACGGTGTGTTGTGTTGTTTGCCTCAAGCTGATACTCGTCGGGATTCTCTAACCCGAAGAAGCAATCGAGCATCTCGGAGACGATCGAAGATGCATCGGACCTTCCCTGCTCCAGAGAACGTCCCGAATTGAGTGCGTTGAAGAACCAGTGCTCTCGATTTGTCGACCCGACGACCTTCGTTCTGGTGTTTTTAATCACCCATATTCACTTAAATCAGTCGTACGCCGCAGTGGTCGGACTGGGACTATGTCGGAATTCCACCGTCGGAAAAGGAAACAAATCGAAACTCTAAGCTCTGGGTTTGCTGTGTTATTTTTCCGTGTGTTCCTTATTATATTATATATGTCTTGTTTTGCTCTTTGGCTTGACGCTTCGTTTGGTTGAGGCGGTGCTCTGTTATGCTGAAGAAGAGTGAAGAGAAGGCATGGGAGAAGACAGACTAAATGGAGGAGAGTCTTAATAAATTGCTAATATTATATTTTTTTTAAAATAATTAATATGACAAGTGGAATAATGAGGTGGATTTTTTTTTAATTTTTTTAATTTCCACGTCATCTAGTTAACGGTCAAACTTTATAGTTGACTGCCACGTAGGACAAATTTAACGGAGTTTAACGGCAGGTGACCAATGGTGAAACGATTCATAATGTTAGTGGCGAATAAGAAAGAAAAGTAATTCGAGTGGCAAACGTGAAAGATTTGTATAATTTGAGTGACCAAACATGTAATTTAGCCTAACATATAATATTACACCAAAATAACATGTCGTACTTAGATCCAACATATGGTGAAAATTCACACACTTATATAACATCAATATTGATTTGTCAAAAAAAAAATAATATAACATCAATATTCAAATGTTCAACTTAGGATTTCAAACATTGAGTTAGGCGAAAAGAAAATCGGAAAATAGGCATATTTCGCAAACCAAAGAAAAAAATGACACAATTTGACCTCCAACCCGATACCTTGTAACGATTGACCCAACGAGTGCGTGCGGCTCATTTTTTTTACCGGGTCAGGGTCAATCTCGCGGGTTGACAACCTTTGTTGGAAGCTTCTTTTTAAACAGCAAGTTCTTTGTGTGAGAAAACATAGAAGGCCAAATTATAACAAAAAGGTTTGCATCTATGAGTAGGCTTAAAATTAAAAGCCCATGGGCCAAAACTAAATGCACATTATCATTCCGAAATCGGGCCTCAGAGGCCCAAATTTTAACACACTGCGTAAGTCTTGCACGCGCTGACCCGAGCGTGCAACTGAAATTAAAATAAGGACAAGAGGATGTTGAGATTTATAGGACTGTGTGCCGATCGAAGGAGAGCATTATCCGCAAGGATATTGATTCACCGTCTCAATCCCGTCATCACGCGCTCACTCTTCTCTCAAATCAGAGATTAGACCGCCAAACCTCTGAATATATAGTATATACCAGTGTTATCAAAACCGGGCCGGACCGGCCGGTCAGACCGCGGCTAACCGGCTCTGAACACTCACCCGGTTCCGACTCCCTCTAAGCAATAAGGAAACTGGCCGGCCGGGTTTTAACCGGTTCATCCGGCTAACCGGCAGAACCGTCTAAACCGAAGCGACGGTTTTGGGATTAATACCTACTTATTATAATAAAAAAATATTAGTTACCTTTTTTTGTCTTGAATCGACATAAAATTGGAAAGATAAAAATAATGCTTCTTTTCCTTTTATTCAACTTTCCTTTTTCTTTTTTTAGCACTCAATCACGTTACCTATCTTCTTAATTCCTTTCCCCAAATAAGAACAATATTGATAGAATGCATCATTTTGTTACTTTAATTACTTTTTATTCAAATTATTATTTTATTTACTTTCCTCTTCTTGTCAATTTCCCCATTTGATTTCTCAATTGACCAACTCCAACGGTCAAACTCTAAAAAGCAAAAAATCTTTATTTATTACTATTCTGATTAACATTTTAATATTTCATTCTTCAATTGAATATGTAAATAAAATATAAAATTCTGAATTTAAAAATTAGTATTAATTTTTAGAGGTCACATGAAGTCATGATTATTTTATTTGAATATTTTATATGCCACCGGTTTTATCACCGGTTTCATACCGGTTAATCACCGGTTATCCGATAAACCTTAAACCTCTTGTTAATCCGGATCACTGTCCGGTCCAGTTTCGACAACAATGGTATATACACATCTACCACTTTCAACAACGTTTCCCGAAAAAGATCCTTTCATTTCCCCCAATTTCATTTCTCCGTTCCCGTCGTCTAACTCTGTCTTCGCCGGAGCCGGTCCTCATGGAGAAAGCAATCAACAGGCAGCGCATCCTTCTCGATCACCTCCGCCCTTCTTCCTCCTCCTCCGATCACGCCCATGGCTCCGCTCTCTCCGTGAGTTCTCTCTCTCTCTGTGTTTTCTGTGATCTGCTCGGCCGATTCCGGACGTGTGACTGAACTTTATTTTGGGTGGGTTGTGATGTTTGCTGATTGATTTTGCTTGGTGACCATCTATAACGTGGGAATTTCGGCTAGGCTTCTGCTTGTATGGCTGGGGATAGCGCTGCCTACCAGAGGAACTCGGTGTTCGGCGACGATGTCGTGATCGTGGCGTGAGTGTTTTCTTCCCCCCTCCGCCCTCACCGGGTCTTCCGATGAGTTGACTTGAGAACGGGAGTGTTTGTTTTACGTGCTTTGTTTTTCTGTAATTTCTGCAGGGCTCATCGAACTGCCTTGTGCAAGTCTAAACGTGGCAGTTTCAAGGATACCTTTGCCGATGATTTGCTTGCACCAGTTTTGAAGGTACGTCTGTTGAATGATCGAGAATTGTTATAAGAAGCCGAATTTAGCTGGAAAATTTATTTCTTGTTGCTTCGTTGTCATGGATGATTGGGTTTGTAGGCAGTGATAGAGAGAACAAATCTAAACCCAAGTGAAGTTGGGGATATTGTTGTGGGAACGGTGCTGGCACCAGGATCACAAAGAGCAAGTGAGTGCAGGATGGCTGCATTCTATGCTGGTTTCCCTGGTATGTTCTCCTCATCCACCTGTTGGCTCTTTCTTAATGATGTTCTTTCTTTTATATGGCTTATAGGCTAGCTTCCTTTATGTGCTTTTAGAAACCGTGCCTGTCAGGACTGTGAACAGGCAGTGTTCATCGGGTCTTCAGGCAGTTGCTGATGTTGCTGCAGCTATCAAAGCTGGATTTTATGACATTGGTAAGAAGATATGCTCTTTTAGGCTGCCTCTTGTTCTGTGCATTTTTGTATGCATGGAACTTGTCTCCATTCATGATTGTGCTGCCTTTTTTATGCCCCCACCTTAGGCATTGGAGCTGGGTTGGAGTCCATGACCGTGAACCCAATGGCTTGGGATGGTGATGTGAACCCAAAAGTATGCTTCTTACATGAGTTAATTGTTGGTTATGAATTAGTATTGGCAAGATGCCTTTCCTTATTATTAAGTACTCACCCCACCATAATATGTGGCAGGTAAAAACTTTTGAACAAGCTCAAAATTGCCTTCTGCCTATGGGCGTGACTTCAGAAAATGTTGCTCATCGATTCAGTGTGACTAGGAAGGAGCAGGATGAAGCTGCAGTAAGTGAAAAAGGAAACATCAGGTTGTACAGTATCATGATGATGTAAATAGATCATTAATTATGTCTGTTATTAGGTTGATTCCCATAGGAAAGCTGCTGCCGCTACAGCTGCTGGTAAATTCAGGGATGAAATCATCCCAGTTTCTACGAAGGTATATATATTTCAGTTTCAACCACCTTCAGTAGTTGTATATTTTGGTTAATTTCTTGTATCTGAGTCAGTTGATCTGTTTCTTCTCTTGTTAAGCTTGTTGACCCAAAGACGGGTGATGAGAAACCCATCACAGTTGCTGTTGATGATGGGATTCGTCCCAACGCATCTGTGGCGGACTTGGCCAGATTGAAGCCCGTCTTCAAGAAAGATGGAACCACTACTGCTGGTAAAACTGATTGCATTTGCTTTACTTCACGGCACAATATTTCTGAATTTTCATCTCATAAGCTGATGTATTGTGATCTTTAGGAAACTCAAGCCAAGTGAGTGATGGTGCTGGGGCTGTATTGCTCATGAGGAGAAGTGTTGCAATGCAAAAGGGTCTCCCCATCCTTGGAGTGTTCAGGTTAGCTACATGTTCACTTTAAGGAGTCTTCACAAGTTATATTGGTACTTAATGTTCTTATCGCTACCTTGCCTGCCCCATTACCCTGAAATCAAGTTCAGGGCAGAAAGTTTCCACTTAGCTGTCTGTTGCTTTTTTTGATTTAGTTGAAAGCAATACGTGAATGCATGGTGAATGTCTTGCAATTTACTAAATGTAGAAATAAATTCCCTGCATAACGATAAAGTAATGAATGTCCTGTAGACAACAAATTCAGACACCTTATTTTGAAAGACTGTGTCCCAACTTATTCACATTCCTCTCAAGTTTCTGGCCTCTTGAACTTGATACTGATGTTTAAGCTTCTTCCTTTTGCTTTTACCGTAACACCAATTTTTGGATATTTTTCAGGAGCTTTTCTGCTGTTGGTGTCGATCCTGCCATAATGGGTGTTGGTCCAGCTGTTGCAATTCCAGCAGCTGTTAAAGCTGCTGGTCTAGAGCTTGAAGATATCGACCTTTTTGAGATAAATGAGGCATGGAGTGATATCCATCTATTTTCTCTTCCTATCTTTGATAGTCTCATTCGGAGACTTGCATGAATGTCCTTGTATTCTTTTGAAAGCTAACAGTTGCTAGGTTTGCAGGCATTTGCATCCCAGTTTGTCTATTGCCGTAAGAAGCTTGGACTTGACCCGGAGAAGATCAATGTCAATGGAGGTGCAATGGCAATCGGACATCCTTTGGGTGCAACAGGTGATTACATTCTAACTGCATTAATTCTGAATTGCCCAGAAACGCAGCCTTAATATGCAACGAAAGACCTGTTGCCTATACTCCACAAGCTCAAATTCATTTCCTCGCATGAACCCATAAAATAAGTTGCAGTGTTCCCTGATTCCAGAATCAGAAGTTCTATTCTGCTTCTTGCTGGCAGCAGCACCGTCTATGCTAGACCTTTAACAAATTACTAAGTGATATTTGGTTGGCCTTTCATTGACCGATGTAACACAATGGTCAGGGAGCTGTAATTTGATTCAAGCTAGACCTCACTCAGAAGTTATATATAAAAAGGGAACACTGCTGCAGTATATGGTGGTGTGGGCAGTATATGGTGGTGTGGGAAACGGATCTAACATGGGAACTGTAATTTTATTGTAGGTGCTCGATGTGTGGCTACTCTGCTGCACGAGATGAAGCGTCGTGGTAGAGACTCTCGCTTTGGAGTTGTGTCCATGTGCATAGGTCGGGGATATACCATATGGACTAGTTCCCTTACTCTTCTAGATTGAATTGTGTTGTTCGATCAGCGATGTACCATGTGGCTAACTATGACAACTCTAATGTGCAGGAACCGGGATGGGAGCGGCAGCTGTGTTCGAAAGAGGGGATTGTGTAGATGGCCTTTGCAATGCGAAGAAAATAGACAACCAGAACCTCTTATCCAAAGATGTCAAGTAAAACCGTTTCTCGCTGCTGGGAGGAATGATTGCCGGAACCCTCTCTCAATAGGACAGGACAACACAATAAAGTATTTGATCTTCTGTTTGTTTAGAAAACTGGAATTTGCCAAACGAGGTTTGGTTTATATCGTATTCAATTTACCATTTGAAGGAACGGGCACCTCCCCGCATATGTACTGCATGTTCCTATGTGTTCCATTCTATATCTTTCATGGTCTTAGATGGCCAGAGTTGACCCGTACAACTGACTAACTGGGCAAAAGCCTATTGTCTTTTCATTCTTTCCCTTGCCGATGGAAGAGTAAACAAAGCCTTCCTCAAAGAGGTGCAGTCTCTCCTGGAAATTTGAGACAGCAATCCCAAGCAACGGGTACAAAGCAAAAGAATAACATTTTAGTAATTGCTGAATGAAGAGTTTCCAGGGTCTATTGCACCCTCCTACATCGGTTACAGGAGCATTGCAATGTCACACCATTGGTCCACGTCCTTCGCTCGTTACTGAGTCATCAGCTAACACCACAAGCTATACAACCACTGTATGATTGAGTAATGACGAAGCATCGCTCAGTAAGGCTGCGTTAGGTTATCTCTTTATGTGATGATTGAACTCAAAGTCGAAAGAGAAAAGCGGTGTGTAACAACCCAGTGGAAGACAGCTGGCTGATGACGTGTAAAGGGGCCTCAAGTGTATAAGTAGAAACAATCAATTGTGATTTGGCATCTTTGGAGAATAAACACCTTGCAGCTACTTTACCAATTTGTAGTCAGTAGATAGGTAGAAAACCAGAACTCTTCCTTCCCACCTGTATCTTCTTCTTCGTTCCATTCCTTCGCCAGATTCTTCAATAAAGATCCTTACAAGTGGTAATCAGAGCCTGTCAACTGGCAACAATAGCGTCTAATACATCGAGAATCATTGTTTTGGAGACTCAAATGGCGGCTATCAAGCAGCAGATGGACTCACGGCACCGGGATCTGAAGGCCGCCATTGCTGATCTTGCGGCTTCGACAAAGGCCTCCTTCGCCGCTCTTACTGTTTCGTTGGAGCAACGGCGGGACGATTCCCCGGTTCCTTCTCCACCGAGCACGGCGACGAGAACTCTGGGCCAGATTCCTTCTCCCACTTTCCATTATGCTTTTCCCATGTCTCCGGCCACTTCACCCCCACCACAGCAGAGTATCACCAACAATCAGTATCGCGCCTTCAACCGTCCACCACCACGATGGCCTTCCTTCTTCGTCTCCGAGCAAATTGGATCGATGGCGGATTATCAGGTTCTTTCTCCTCTGTCTTCACCGGCGATGGGAACCCTAATTCCTTCGTCATGTCCTTCTTCTATGCAAATTTTTGGCCCAAGTTCTTCTTCCCTAACCCCATATTCGAGCTCCTTGGTCTTTCTTGAATCTTCATCTTCTCCTTTGCCTCTGAATTCAGCTGCAATCCCTAATTCTTCTAGTCCGATGCCTTCTATTTCGTCAGTTGACGTATACCCAATACAATCGTTTGCTTCTTCTCCTGTTGGTTCATCAACTTCGAAGCCTTCACTTCCATCTCGTCCTTCTCCTTCTCCTAATCCTGCTGGAACCAATTTGTTACCCAAACTTCATACTACAGATTACTTGAATGAGGATCCTATTTCCATATGTGCTCAGAAGAATGAATCTTTAGTTTCGAGCGTGGTTCGAAGTATAGCTGTCACTTTTGGTATTGGAGTTTGCTGTCCTGCACGGTTTCCCTCTGGATTTCCGGGTTGCCGCATCCAATTGAGTGACTCTAAATGGGATTACAGGGTATAACTCTGTCATGGTTATTGTGGGAATCGTGTGGTTTCTACAGGGAGGGGAAACTGTCCTTGCTTCAAGGAGCCATACAAGGACTATTGTTGTGATGATGTTACTCTGTATTCAAGGAAGGCCTCAAATTCTGGTGTGGTAAGCTGTATGTGTTACTCTTGGGTTTGTAAGAGGAAGGGCCCTGTTCTTAGTTTGAAAGGACCCTACACAGCTTGGCTTCACGAAGCATTCACACAGCTTCTGGGTTTGATTAAGAGCTTGGCGACACAATCTGAATAGTTGGAGCATCTGTCTTATATGGTGTCTGGTGTTTGGTCTGCTGTTGGCAATATGCAGCTCGAGGCAACAACACAGTTCAGAAAGTTGCTCTCGATTGAGCGGAGCCCTCCGATTGAGGAAGTCATACAAGCTGGAGTTGTTCCACGATTTGTCGAGTTTCTAATGAGAGAGGACCTTCCCCAGCTTCAGTTTGAAGCAGCTTGGGCGCTTACAAATATTGCTTCTGGAACATTTGAGAATACTAAAGTTGTGATTGATCATGGTGTTGTGCCGATATTTGTAAAGCTTCTGGGTTCACCAAGTGATGATGTCCGCGAGCAGGCTGTATGGGCTCTAGGAAATGTGGCTGAATCTGCTCCTTGTTACCAGCAGTTATGTTTGAGATATTCCAGCAAGCTTCCTTCTTGATGCTCTTCTTGTAGTTGTTGGTCAGCAAGTTGAGAAGACAAGGAAGTGCTTGATGATTGATGATACACTGAGTTTGCAAATCATCACTAGTGACAATGTTGAGAAGGGCATGGGCTGGTTTTTCAGGAGGAAACTTCCAGTTTTCCAGCTTAGCTTCAGCTTGAGGACAAGCTGTCTTTGAAGAGGGAGGGTTTGTAACAACCCAGTGGAAGACGGCTGGCTGATGACGTGTAAAGGGGCCTCAAGTGTATAAGTAGAAACAGTCAATTGTGATTTGGCATCTTTGGAGAATAAACACCTTGCAGCTACTTTACCAATTTGTAGTCAGTAGATAGGTAGAAAACTAGAACTCTTCCTTCCCACCTGTATCTTCTTCTTCTTCGTTCCATTCCTTCGCCAGATTCTTCAATAAAGATCCTTACACGGTGTCTCCTGGAAACAACTCTGTCTCACGAGGCTGGGGAGCACAAATCTTCATCGTTGCCTTTCCATAGTTGGCCTTCATCTGCTTGAGTCAGACTGAAGAAAACAGCAACGAGATCAATATCGTGCCAATCATGTGATGGAAGATTTGCAGACTGGGATTCTGATTTTTTTTTATAATGGTGAGAAATAAATAAAGTAAAAGAGAGTTAAAGGTTTGAGTTACAATAAGAGTAGCACTAGGAGTGCCCTCAAGGCGGGGAAGGAAAGAAAGAGGAAGAAAAGAAAAGAGGGAACCTAGTAGTGACACAACGGTTGAAAACAGGACCACGACAAAGCGTCTAGAATAGTAAGTCTCAAGCTAAAAAGCAAAGAAACCCAGCAAACAGGCTCAAACAAAGGCAAAGCCAACAAGTTTTCTATCGGATTGATAATTTGGGGATTAGGGTTATACGAACAGAATTAGGGATTTGAGAAGAGAAGGATAGAGAATCGGGCTAGGCCTTTAGAAGGATTGAGATCGAGAATTGAGAGGATTTGGGGAAGAAGAAGAATAGATGACAGAATCGGCCGAAGCCTTAGAAGGCTAGAGAACGAGAAATCGGGAGATAGAGGATTAGTGTTTTGGGAGAGATTCTTTCTGAATAATAGTTCTTGCTTGATTGATAATGAAACCCAGATTACATATTTATAGGAAAGATAGGAAAACCTAATAATAAACCTAATTCTACTAAAAGACTACTATCCTTATTTGTAAATATCTTAATAATAATAATTATGATAATTATGATAGAATCACGAAAACGTGTTTCTATCATCTCCTCCCCCTTGAGACCAACCTTGCCCTCAAGGTTGATCAACTCGACCCACTCTTCCCTTTCTTCTCTGTCGACTCCTCCATTTCTTACGCTTCCTTTTCTTCCAATTGTGCTCCACTACTCGAATGAAGCCCACTCCAGCGACTCCGACTCTCCCCAACTCTTCTCGAACCACGTGACACAGGTCACGATCTCCGTAACCAAACAATTCTTCCTTTTTCTTTTCGAAATCCACGAAATAAGAATTGAAGAGTTGTTCTTCATTATGCTCCTCCGCATTGACCACCTTGGAATCTTTAATGGACTACTTCCCACCTTCTTTTCCTTCTTCCATGTCTAGGCCCACAATAGCTTGGGAGACTTTAGAGCCCAACCCAATGCTAACCTTCTTTGTGGTCCATTCCCCTCCTCCTAAATTTGAATTAAGCTTTCTTGAAAGCCCACCTCCTAAGCCCACAACCTTGGATTCAAGCCTTTCTTGATTCAGCCCAACTCCGTATAAGATGGCCCTTATTATACATCCCTTGGGTGACCCAAGAATTGGACCGTCCCAAGCCCGACTCGGCTCAACCCTTAGCTCACTCTGCTGATCTTCTGGGCCCAACCCGAGCCAGAATTTTAATGGCCCTAGCACTGGCCCATCAAGCCTGACGATCCGAACAGTATGGCCCAAGGACTCGAGCGCGGCCCTAGGGTTTACGAGAAGAAGATGGGCGCCACCGCCCTCCTCATTCACCTCCTTTTTTGATTTCCACGGCGGTGAGCAATTCCGTCGACGGGACGTCCGGCCTGCTAGCGACGCTTGCTCATCGATGATCGACGCCGCCTCCTCGTCGGTCCACGCCGCCTTCACCTTCTTCCTCGCTTTCTCCTCCGACGTCGCCTCCAGCTCCGCCTCGTCCTCTGGCGAGGACCCCTCCTCCGTTAGCGATCCCTCGACGTGGTGCCTGAATGGCCAGACCGAGCCTGCGAGCATCATCTTTGTCCCCTCGCTCGCAGGCAGCTCCGCTACCTCTTCTTCCCCCGGCGAGGAGCTCACCAGATAAGTGGACGGTGGCCTCAATCCAGCGACCCTTGCTTGCAGCTCCGTCGCTCCCCTTGTCGGCGGCGTCTCCACGAACGACTCCGTCTTCTTACGACGCGGCTCCGACGACGGTGGAGGCTTTCCTTGCTCGACTCGCGTCTCCGACGAGCTAATCATCTTCCACGACGACTCGAGCTCGCCATGAATAGAGAGAGATCGATAGCCGCCTCCAACTTCCTCACCAGACGGCGATTTCTTGACGACTTTCTCCTAGTCAGTCGCCGACAGGAAAGGAGCAGTCGCCGATAGCTACTTGTCTCGTTCGGTCCGAAACTCCGGCGATTCATGCCCGTGGCGCGTCGCCATCTAGTCTCCGCGCCGTCCGTCGCTAGCGGTGCGACATTCCTTCTCCGGCGA